GAAGAAGAAGAAGAAGAAGAAGAAGAAGAAAAAGAAGAGGAGTAACAACAACAACAACAACAACAAAACTACGACAAACTACTTCTTCTACAAAACCCCCCACCCCTTGCCCTTTATTTTCCTTACCCTTCCTCCACTCCTAAAACACTCCCCCACTCTTTCTGCAGCCTTTCTACTGCTACTCCTTGACTCCTTACTGCTGTCTTTCAGCCACACTCAAGATCTTCAGGTAGGAAAGATCTACACCTAGTCTTCTCGGACAAAAGTGAAAAATCTCTTAGGGCCGGTTTGTAAGTTGCCCACATTAAAGATCCTTTGGTGGTCTAAAATCGACAAGAGTATGCTTCGGTCGTCACACGGGCAAAATTCTAAATTTCCTACCAACTGAAAAAGTTTGATGTGTCCCGCGCGCTCATGTGACCTTATGCGGTTGCGAGCGCCCTAAAAGACTTACCAAAAAACAACTTTTCCGTTCCGATCCACAGAGGCAGAGACAGCATGGAGACAGAGATCAAGGCCTCCAACACCCAACCCGAGTGGGAGCAAACCTTCCTGATGACCGGGATTACCCTGACAGAGGTAATGGGAAGCAACTCAGGATAAACCTCTGCAGACTAGAGATTTTACATAGTGACGTCCCTTGTTCCGGTGCCGTGCAGTAATAATTTTATTGGTCGCTCTTTAAGGCCAAGAGGGCTAACCCAGATTTTGGGAGTTTCCAGAAATCTTGACCTACACCAAAAGTGGGCATTGCCCTATCTATAGGAGAAGTTTGGTTTCATTGGTTAGTATATTTGTTTGGTTATATAGAATACTCTGCTTTTAAAAAAAAAGAAACTGAACAAGGGGCAAAAACTTTAGCTTCGATTTTCTCAAAACAGCATTTTTGTATGCTCGTCACACTTTTGTGACCCGCTATTTCCGGGGTGCCTTGATAGTCGAAGCAGACTTTGTGCTGTTGAAGCTAGAGAGTTGAGCTGAGTAAGCCTTATTCCCTGTAAGGACTTCTCTGTTGACATCCATCCCTTGGCACTCATAATATAACCTTACGCAGTTGAAAGCGCCTTAACCCCCCCCCCCCTTTCTCTCTCTCTCTCTCTCTCTCTCTCTCTCTCTCTCTCTCTCTCTCTCTCTCTCTCTCTCTCTCCCTTTTTAACTCCCAGTGGAGCATAGGCCATCAACAACATTTCTCCAGCGAAGCCTGTCCTGTGCATCCTTTTCTAGCTGTTTCCATGATGCCCCACCTTTTCCATTTTCGAATATACCGCTCGCCTTCATGTCATCTTTGGTCTTCCTTTCTTACCTTTTTCATCGTCAAAGCTTGTCTGCTAATGTTTGTCGGGGGTCTTCTCAGTGTGTGCCCAACCCATTTCCATTTCTTCACCTGTATGTCTTCCTTTACTGGCCTTTAGCTTGTTCTTTACCACAATTGAGCATTTGTGACTCGGGTAAAACCTCTTCTTCTTCTACTATCCCGTGGTTGGGGCAGCTGTGGGGGCATCACTGCATCTGAAAACCAGCTCTCGCCATCTATTTTTGAAACCTCTACTAAAACTAAAAATTCTTCAGGACTCAAACCTCAACCTCTCACGTGTCTCTCCACATTCAGCTGGCCACCAAGTCTGTATAGGTGACAGTGTGAACTTAAACCTCAACTTCTTACCCATGTTTCTCCTTTGTCAGGACTCAAACCTGAACCTCTCACATGTCTTTCCGTCCGTCCTCAGCTCGCCACCAAGTCTGTCCATGTGACGGTGTGAACTCAAAGCTCAACCTCTCACATGTCTCTCCTTTGTCAGGACTCAAACCTCAACCTCTCACATGTCTCTCCCTCCCCAGCTCGCCACCAAGTCTGTCCAGGTGACGGTGTGGAACTACGAGACCAGCGCTGACGCCTTCATGGGGGAAGTTCTTCTGGACCTGGCACAGGCTCCGCTGGATAACGAGGTGGGTTATTGACAGCGGCAGCAACTACAACAGCAACAAAAACTACAACAGCAGAAGCTACAACAGCAGCAACAGGAACTACAACTACGACAACAGCAGCATCAGTAACCACTACCACAACAGCAGCAAAAACTACAACAACAGTAGCATCAGCAACTACAATAGTAGCATCAACAATTACAACAACAGCAGCTACAGCAATTACAACTACAACAACAGCAACAACCACTACTATAACAGCAACATACCTACAAGAGTGGCGATAGCTATAGC